ACGCCCTTCGGAACAACTCCTGGTCGACACCAGAGGCATCTACTTGGACTCTCTTCCTGCTGGTGCTGCTCAGTCATTAGTTTTGCAGAACTCTGTAAGGAAAAGGATTGATGGTTCAGACTGTCCTGCCCTGCCCCAAAACCCTCCTAAAGTCCAAGGCATCCGTTCTTGGGGCAGCTCATGAACCCACTCCCTCGCTGAGTGCCCAGGCATTAACCTAAGGGGAAAAGCAGATAGGGGAATGAGGAAGCAGCTTATGCTTAGGGGGTTTTGCACTCCAGAGCAATGTTTTAACTCTTAATCACCTGTAGAAGTCAAAGCCATCCAAAACCAGTCACTTTGCTATTTTAGTCCTTTTGGTAACCACTTCTGTTCAGACTTACATTTTCCATGGACAAACTGCCAAGCCATTTGAGGAGTGGTTCAGCCACACACGTTGCTGACTGCAAGGGGCAGTTACAATGTCTGTCCTTGACTCATGCTGTCGGAAGTCAACACAAACCCCATCTGCCTCAGTTGTCCTTTCCCTCCTTCTTTGCCCCAGAAATACAAAAAGAGGAAGGTCTAAGTGCACTGGGCAGGATTTCAGTGCAAAGCCAAGGGATTTGTGTGGTGCCAAGGAGCGCAAGGGATGAAGTCCAAGAGCACTTGCCCATGAAAACGTGGCAACCAGCCTTCGGATTGTGTGTCTCCAAGAATGGGACGGGGTGAGGTTTGCCAGCGTGCTCACTGGAGGCTAGAAGCAATGTTGTTTGAAACTTGCATAGTCTGGCATGGCTGAAACACAGAGCTGGAACTGTGCTGAAGTAGGGATTACTCATATGCTAGTGATGAGGAGGATATAAAGTAATAATGACCTTAGGTGACATTAATCTAGATTGGATCCAGAACCCTGACAAAAATCTTCCCATTTATAACACCGTATGGAAAGCACAGAAAAACCACACAAGACATAGACCTTCCTGCCACCTTGTCTTGCTTTTGTGTGTGAAAAGGTACATTTTAACATTAGGAAGGTGCTATCAGAACTACTACTTCTTGTTCTTACCATAGCTACAAAGCTGAGGTTGAAGCATTTATCTCATGATTTAAGACAAGTGCAAAACAACCTAATTACTGTAGTAGTTTTAAATATATATCAGACATAAGCTTTTTATTTAAAACCACCCACAGGATTTTGGTTGTTTTGTTCGCTAAAAAAGTATGTAACAGCACAACTTACTGTTATTTTTGGACACTACCGAAATATGAAAAGAACATAAAGCCAACTTGCTATTAATTGGAAATAATACATTTAATTTTAAGAAGGAAGGAATAATAGAAAACATACGTGGCTCTTCATCTCTGGTTGTCTGATCTTTCCTGGGTTTTAAATAAATGAAACCCTCTTGTGATTTCCACTTGTAATGTTAGATCTTTAAATGTCTGGCTTACACTCTAGCTCTGATGGCTGCCAACTTGGAGCCAAACTACTTTCTACCAGACCTCCATATAAGTTGCTAGAAAAATTAGTTCTGTCTCCCTGTTTTTTAATGTGTTATTTTACTTCATTGCCGTCACTTTTGCTGGTTACATGACATTTAGTGAAAGGGAAAAATAATAATATTTTAAAAGTTCAGCAGTTAGAACTTCTAGATCCTATTTTCATGTTTAAAAGGACAAGATGGTCAAAAACAGCCTTTGTTTTGTTTATACCAAGGGAAATGAAACGCAAGGAATTCTAAATGAGACACGACCCCTTCTTACGAGACTGCCAAGATGAGTCTGCTGAAAACACAGAAAGAAATCACTTCAGATTTGGCTAGCATTGCTCTGGAATCATGACGATTAGGCGATGGGTTTTGAGCCATTAGCAGTTAGTAATTAATAACTTGATTTTTAAAAAGGAAAAAAATATATTTCAAATACTTGCAAAATAGGGTTTAGACCTAATAATTTTATAAACAGACCAAAAATTCTCCATCTAAGATGCATGCTGGGACAGATCCTGCAGTTCTTCCCAACCGAGATGTCTCCCTGGGACTCAGCAGCTTGAGTGCAACAACAAAAGAATGTCTGATTGGGTAAAATTATCATACATTATGCATTTCCATGATACATGTTACCTCACAGCAAAATAATGGTTATCAACCAACATTTAAAGTCATTGTCAAGTCTGCCTTCATCTTTGTGTGCATTTTGTCTTGCTGTGACTTCCAAGTACAGGTGAGGCTTCCTAACGGGAAGAGAGAAGGTAGCCAGCACATGGACACGTCAAGAAAGGACACTCAGACCATCTAATTTCAGTGAGGAGTCATCACTATTTGTGCCTTTTTAATTGTAGAGCCATTTCTGTAAATCAGTCCTCCAGCAAAGTTACTGTACAGGACAGATGCAGTGCAGGGACACACAAGTTCTGTTGGAAAGTTTTATACCTGTGGATCGTTCAGCCTATCTGGGCATTCCAGAGGAGTGGAGATTCACCAGTGCCACGCGTTGTTGTCCAGTAAAGTTAGAAAAGCAAGGAGCAGCGAAGAAAAGCACCGATTCAAATGAGTCTACTCAGCTACTGCCAGGAAGTCAAACACAGCAGGCTGCGCCTACTGCTAGTGCACAAACAAGGAGCACGCCTTTGTAAAAGGACACACATCAAATGAATCAAAACACAAGTGTTTGGTGGAACTTGGCAGGGTGAAAGGATGCAAGAGACAGTGCAGTCGGTTGCCTTTCATCTCCCACCAAGTTTGCTTTTCCATACAAATTATTAAATGAAGTTATGGGAGACTGACTGGGGAGCTGCTATTGAAAAAGAATTTGTAAGCACCATGACACAGAATGAAACTCTCTGGTTCCTACAGCTATAGAAGGGTATTTTAACAAAGTACCAACAATGAGTCCTACCCAAGCTCTATTTCTGAAAAAATAAAAAACCTCAAGAAACCTCAAACCCAACCCCAAAAAAGTTAAAACAGTCATGAACTTACCCACTTCCCCATTGGCACGGTGTAACATTTTAAGTGCACTATTAGCATCGTCTGTTAGTGGACACTGTCAGAGACCAGGCAAGGTGGATCCTTTCACATGACTTAAGTTTCTCTTCAGACCTTTTGCTTTCGTTCTCACTTGTCCAATTTTCCACACACTTTACACCTACACATAAGTACTTGCCCTTCCATCACCACTAAGATTAGAATATCTCTCAATCTCATTCTACCCAAGCTACTGTCCCTAATGCGTTTCATATGCCTACAATATGTAGGCCACACAATCAATCACACTGGGAAAGATCTGTGCAAATACATGGTATGCCTAAATTTGGTATGGCACCTAACATTTTCTTAAGTAGCAACAATTCATTCTTCTGTTTGATGCAGGACACTTCCCTTGATGGAGTAGTCTGTTTCCCACAGCATCTTTCTTTCCTCTTTCTTTCTCACCGAGTATCACTGCACTGTTCTCCACTGTACACCCACGTTCAGAAGCTTCCTGCCACTTTACAGCAGGCCAAGCTTTCCTAATTCTCCATCACAGTTGGTCAGTTCAAGCTACAAACAATGGTTTTGCTAGGTCCTACCATATTGCTGGAAAGGCTAAGAAGTTGGATCAAATATATGCATAAGACTGTGGTATCTCCTCAACTTTTTCCATTATCTACTTGAAAATGAACCTGAAGATGTTCAAATACCTACAAAGAGCAATTACATTTAAAACGTTTGAGGTCTGCAAATTTTCCTCAGGGATATCATTGCAAAGCAGTCGTGCAAAAACCATCCCCTCCTGTGTTGCTAGATTGTGTCCCTGGATTACTGTGTCCATTTGGCCATTAGGTGTATAGCCTCTCATGTGCTAGATCTGACTCTGTAATCCCTTTTACTATTTACTTCATATAAACACGAATTTTGATTATCTATAGTTTCTAACCTCTAGTTTAACAGAATCCTTGGATTAAATTAATAGGATGTCTTAGAAATTAACACCTCTTTAAAATTACAAATTACCTTTTGGCTCCTTGTTTCTAAAATCTTTTCTTTTGGATAAATGTTGTATTTGCATTAGAGCTGAAACAGTTCAAGAAAACCCAACCCAAACCTAAAGACAAATCAAGCCCCTCACTCCATGGAAGAAAGATCATATTCTACCTACTGTACTTTCTCCACACCATCAATACCTTCATCAGTACCAACAGATACCTGCTATTCATCAGATACCAACACCTATACTAACATGGCCAAATTGTATCTTCTAGATGTACCTTTGACTTCTTGATTTAACACTTGCAACACTGGAAGACTTTGTGTAAGTGTAATTATATTAATGGGAATGCAATATCAATAGCAAACCTTTGACTCAATTTCATTTAGGCTCAGAAGAAGAAAACACAACTAACTGCCCAAAATTCCTTTGGGCCAGTTTGAACCATTTATTTCCAATATACATTAATGAAACACTTCTAAATGGCAATATTTCCATTAATTAGTTCTATTATCCAAGGAAGTCTTCAAGTATTTAAAGGAGAAATTAATCAAGCGCATATGTAATCTTTTAAAAACATACAAAAAACTATACAAAATCTCTTCAATTTTTAGTTACATTACTACCTTCTTTATCAATAGAGATACGTTTTACATACCTCTGTGGAATTAAAATCATTAACACCACTTAGTCTCAGCAATAAGCCTCTACAGAAGTGTTTTGTTTATTTATAAATACAACCATAATTCTGACTACTTTTTGTAGCCACTTTCAGCATTTCTAGTATGTTTAAGAAACGGCATGATACAAAACAAACCACCCCAAACCCATCAATTCCTTACTTACATGTTTCAAGGTGTAGCTTTTTACTAATAGTACAAAACAGTATTTGTGGTGGCAGAAGTAAAGTGTGTTTATTACTCTAGTTACTTCAAAACTCACCATCATAATTATGTGGCTTTTGGGTAAAACTTGAGGTGGACAGGAATCAGAGCAGGCTGCAGTAACAGCTAGAAGAACTGAGACTGAAGTCAAGTCTGAGTAAAACCAAAGTTCAGTTATTTGAGTTTCTGCTTTTTCCTTGCCTGAAACTCTTGGGTTTTATTTTTGACAGATTTTATCAGCATTGATAGGGCAGGATCTATGGCTTTCTTGGCAACCTCTCCTTTCTTTGCCATCTTGTTCTCCTGCCCCTTGCTCGCCTCCTTAAGAAGTTGCTCCTTTTCTTCTCTTCGTCGAGCTTTCTCTTCCAAGATCTTTTCTACTGCTTTTGTCTTCTTGAAATTTGGATCTGAAGGATCCAGGTTAAACAGGGGAGAAGTAAACATGGCTTGGAATCTTGTATCAGCAACATTTACCTGAAGGCAGAAGAGGAGTATTTATTTTAGGTAACCTTTACCCACGATAGCAAAGCTTTTAAACACAATAAAGTCCAATCTGCTGAAGGAGTCATAAGCTCATGAGATTGTTCACCATTCCTGGAACTGCTCCAGTTACAAAATCCCAGCAAGTGTGAAGTAGTGAGCCAGAAAGTACTATTGGTAAAACAGACAAGTGAATGCTTGTACAAATCCCGTGTATGCCACTCTCAGCAGACCAAGGAGAGGTTTGTTGCCGAGAACTGACCGGGACTGGATTTGGAACAACCAGTTGCCACACCAGTAAAGAGGGTAACTACTAGTGCAGCCAGGAAAAAGCAGCGGATAACAATAATAGGTGATTCTACTTTGAAAGGCACAGAAGCACCCATCTGTCAGCCTGACCCAATCTCAAGGGAAGTGGGTTGCCTACCAGGGGCTTGGATCAGAGGTGTTGCCAAGGGGCTGCCCGGTCTAGTAAGCCCTACTATTATGCACTCCTAATAGTCCATGTGGGTGCCAGTGACACTGACAGCAGCAGCAGGATGAAAGCAGCAGTGGATAACAATAAGAACAAACATGCCGATACATATTTTAGGCAACAAATTGTACAAGGCTTTGCATAAATAGTGTCTTCTTGTCTTACACAGAGTTTGAATCTGTTCCCCTCAACATTGCATCAGAGTATTTCTTGCTTTTTGCAAACAGCCTGTATCTCCCTAAAGATGTAGACGTAGTTCTCCTCCTTCAGACAGAGAAGGATATGAAACCACCAAATTTGTCCTGAAAATAATTAACAAAGCTTCTATCCGAGACTCAGAATCAAGGGTAGACCCTTACCTGGAAGTCATCTTCTATCAATTCTTTCTTTTTCATTAAAAGTTTCTTTTTCTTCTTGCTCAAATTCTGTTGTTCTACAATCTTTTTATAGTTAAAATGTTTTCTGGCATCCTCATCATCATCCATCATAAGTAGGGCCATTTCAGCCTGGTGCAAAATAAGAAAGTCCATGTACACAATGAAATTGAGTTTTCCATGAAAAACACAGCAGTAAAGTCTGGATGAGTCTCCATATATATACACGAGTTGGAATAGGGTTGTCAGGGCAGTATTGTTTCATCCATAACAACATTCTTCTAACACTGAGGTGTAATATTATACACCTCAAGTATTAATACAACAGTTGATTTCCTTTTTATTACACGTAAAGTAAGTGCGAATACCCACATTGAACTTTTAAACATACTAATAATCTAATCTGAAAATTGTACACCACAACTTGGAAATCAAAAATGGACAATTTTATATGGATATTTACATAGCAAATAAAAATTAACATTAATTTAATAAATGTGTTAAGTTGTTCTGAGAAAGAATGAAAAGCAAACATGCACTAGCAAACAATTCAATCTTCAAGGTTAAAAGTCTAGAGGGCAAAGTATGAACACACAAATGTTTCACACAATGTTGATGTTAAAAGTAAGGATTCGTCACTGCCCAACACACAAATGTCCTGGGATAGCTTTAAAGCCAGAAGGAGCATCAGCTCAACCAGTATGGCTTCTGTGCCCTTACATTTCAATGATGCCCAACTCTGTTGAGCTATGTTCAGCTATAATCTTCCAGAAAGATACACTGGCATCATCTTAAGACATCAAGGTATGGATCATCTACCGTTCTTCTTGGGTAGTTTTGTTCCAAAAGCTCTTGCTACTAAAATTATAGTTTTATTCCATTGCTATCCTATGTAATTCAGTAGTTCCACTCACAAACACGTAACAAATATTTGCAGAATTCGGGCAATGCAACTCAACATTTTAACTCCCTTTACCTTCTGTTTTTCAACTTCATCTTCATCCTCTGAGGTACTTTCAACTGATTCTGGCTTCTTCTTTAAACCTACATGCAAACACAGGACACGCATGCATTTATTCAAGCTGATGCATGGGAGCACAAACTCCCTATGAATAGAACCTGTAAGTGCATCTCATTTTCTTGTAATCAATACTTGAATGTCAGGTGTGGAAAAAGACTGAAAAGTTAAGAAAAAACAGCTAAAGCAATAAAAATCTGCTGAATATTTGTTCAATTTAAGGAGGCAGCAATATCCAAATGTCATAAACAAGTCAACAAAAAAGAACAGTTAGAGAAAATGTGTTTACTGTATTTTTCATAGAGCAGTAGAGAGAAGCATCAGAACAGAGCAGGCAAACATACAACATTACACCACTCCCAGGGTGTTTTAAAAGAGAATCAGTTTATATACTCATAAATGTAATTGAAGTGTCCTGCAGTTCTCAAACTGCTCATTCTTTCTACTTGAGTAGACAATGTAGTTAATACTTCAGAATAAATAACAAATGTGCATCTCTTCTCTGTATCCAGAGCAGAAGTCTGCCAGCCGAGTAAGAGTGGAAAAAGGAGAAACAGTTTTTAAACTGTATAGGCAAGGCTAAAAGACCATCTTGTGCTCGTAGCCATGCTAGCACAAAAACCCTTGCAAAAGAGACCTGAACAGCATCACTGGTTTGAAAATATGATTGACTGTTGAGACTGAATATTCTTCTGATGAAGCTCTCTTAGAATTGACTTGAGCTACAGAGTGCTGATTAGATAGACATAATGAATCATAACAGCTTAAGACATTAGTCAAACATTACTTTAATGAAAACAGACCTGTTTATAAATCCTACAAAATCAAATTACTCTCTTTGGAACGCCTGTAGACCCCGATCAAGAAGGAGCAGGAAAAGCAGAAGGTTTTCTGACCTGAACCACATACTTTGACCCTTGAGCTTGGAATTACATTCCCAGGCAATTTATTACAGTCCACTGGGGGTACTCTTAAGGAAGATATTTGGCTCCATTTTGCTAAGCCAGATTTGTAGTCAGACCAGAAATACAAACATGCCAGAAAAACGTCAAGTTATATCACTAAATATACTCTGGAACAGGACACATCTCTTGAAGAACAGTTTTTTCTCCCTTGACTATTCTCCTGACTATTTCTAAACAGATTCCAAGCTGGAAATGGACTTCTAGAAGAACAAACCACCACCACCAAAAAATAAACTACCCAGATGCGCAATGTCATCAGCTCAAGAACTGAACTGTTGATTTAGGAGTTCCAGAAAGTGTGCAGAAAAATCAGATTCAGATATAATATTATTATCTAACCTACACAATTAATGTGTAGTAAAGAGATACAAACGTCTATGTGGGACTTCAACAACTACGAAGTCTTTTGTGTCTCCCCAGAACTGGCTAAACTACAGCAAAGGAAACCGGGCCCAGATACATGAATTGGAGACAATGATTCTAGAAGTTAAATCAGTAAATCTCTCAGCTTTTCCACCCATCCCCTTAGGAAGGGCCCCTTGAGTCATCTTCCCTCCTCTTTCACTGTGTGTAATCACAGAAGTGAAGATAACTTATCTTCATACCTTCAAAGATTTCTGTTGCTGCAGATGAGGGTGACCCAGGAGCTAGTATCAAACTAAGCTCTTCCACGAAAATAAATACATATATAAACCAAACTTTACTTCTTACTATGATACTACACAGCTAATAAACCAGCCTGGGACCTAAAAATCACTCTTACCACTAAAAATTTTGCATCATACTGAAAACAGTTTGGTTTCACAATTCATTAATCCATCATTTTCTGTCTTTTTAATACACTCCTGACACTGTCCCATACACATTCTGGAAGGAAACTTCCCCTCACACTCCCACACTTTTTGCACACTTACAAATATAAACCCTATAGTAAGAATCTTTCCCAAACTGATTGCAAACCCTCCTATTTTTCCTAGCACCCAATCTCCACTGCCATCTTTTAAACTTATTTCTCCCACTCCACAGCAGCAGATGCTTGTCTTCAATGCTATGCAGAACTGATAGGTGCCACCAGCCAGTGAGCGAAGCTTCTTGTCTCCGCTGTAATCCCCTCCTCGAGCTGCCATTCGGCTCTTTGTCAGCTCAAGAATTCAGTTTGCAACATTCACGTTGCATGCCAACAACTTTGCAGTGCTAACAGTAAAAGTTAATCAGCGTTTTGAGACTTCAAATAGAGACCGACCACAACCCAAAACCTCCTCTCACAAGACCTTTTATCTGTCTTACTCAGAAGCTCCAAAGTCAGTCTTTTGAGACCAAAAGCCTTGCAAAGACACACAGTAAATGAATCAGTAATACAGCTAAGACCTTTATCTTCCAAGTACAGGTTCTACAACTATACTCAGATTTTGCTGTTAACATCTTATGTCTCCGCAGTCGTGCTGTTATCTTCCAGCATTAAAAAGCCATCAATTCCTACATACATCATAAATCAGATTATGAGACGACATCAAATGGTTTGGAACCTACAGGAGTTACGATAATGTGCAAAGACATGTAGCCCTTCTCCTCAACAAAGGATCAATAGAAACTATGTTTAATAGGCTAAAGCATTCTGAAACTATTCAGTGATCTCCAAAAGCAGGACATTGCTCTCATGTTAATAAGCAGTTCACTATTCGGCTACTAATCTTCCAACAGTTTAAGCTACAACAGTCATTCTGTCTTACATGAACCTTTTCTGAGAAAAGGGAAACAGATGCACTAAGACTGACACTGGCCAAGCCAAATGAAAGGCTTTGAAACAATACGTGAGTCAATGTAAAACAGAAGAGACAAATGATCTTTTTCCTTGACAATATCAAACTAGAATCAAGCTTCTGAAATGCAGCATCAAGGCTCATACATATGCAGCATTTTACATTTTAGCCTGTGGTTCTTTTGAAAAGCCACACAGGGATTATGTGCAAAGCAAGCACTAAGAATATGCTGTACCTTGCCTCTCCCAAGACAAACCTGATGAATATACCCTCAAGTAGACTTCCCACCATTTCCAGATTTCCTTTTGAAGCATTCAAATCTGTTAAGCCCTTTGTCTGACAGCTCCTTATGCTCTTGCTTTCCTTAATTTGCCTCAGCTTGTGAACAAGTAACTTACACAAGACCCATACGCATGACAGTCAACAAGTGAATCTAGGATGAGTTCAAATACATGGCTGCAAAACCCTAAAGGCACTACTGCACCCTCACAGTTTCTGCACTGGTCCACCTGAATCTATATCCTGTCATACGCTTTTCAGCATGATCTGAGATCATCTGGCAGTCAGTAGAGGGCAAAATTTCAGTCTTTCAGGGGAATTGTGGAAGGCTTATGAAAAATTATCATCATTCCAGTTATTGCTGTACCCTAGATATGAAATCGGCAGAGTCACAGCCTTGTTCAAAGCAGATTGTAACCCATTTTCCCCAACTGCAGAAGACAGCTGCACTTCAAAACAAACCCAGCTATGAGACAGGGGCTGTTCTGGGTAGACCTGGTGAAAGTCAAACACAATTGTGCTGCGTAATCACAGTTAAAACGTCAGCTGCCTTGCAGCCAGCCACTGTGTCCTTCCTTTAAAACTTCTCCAGGGCTAGCCACATTCTGGTTTTCAGTAGGTTATCAGTAAACTTGCAGACAAAAGCTTCATTTTCTTAACCTTTGTGTGTATTATTATTTCAGAGCTCTGAAAGTCTGTTCTCTTCATCATGGACAAGAACGTTAAAGAACCTGCAGACACAACCAGTCCCTGCTGAGCGCCTCCATGACACAAACAACTTCTTATATAATGCAGAAGAAATAATTCCTTCAGAGATTTCACATATAATGTTGAAACATCAATCATTAGTATGAGAGTACCTACATAATCTTGCTATCAAAGAAAAATAAAGTGGTGGAAGGAATGGCATCTTTACAATGAATTCTGAAATAACCTATATACCATTCACCAGGAAAGCATAGCAGAAAACAGCATTGCATGACACCTTAAATCATGGTATTTTCTATAAAACATGGATAAGTAGTAAAAATGTGTTTCAGACTAAAAGAAAACTGATTTCTTCTGAAAGACAACTTTATGATGCAAATACGTTTGACATTTTTGTAATTGATACAAACTTCAAACATAACTGGCTCCTCCTATACAGCAGGAAACAGGCTTCGAAAGCAATGAAGTTCTTTTCTCTGGAATATTTAGGGGAGCAGATGGTCACCTTGTTTTTAACAGCCACCCCCAGAAATTGGCTACACAATGGTCTCTAGTGAAAGCTAAGTAAACTGTGTTCCCTACCATTGCACGTATCACAATATGGGTCATTCACAAGAACAGCACCTGACACCTATTTTATTTCATTCTGAACTTGCTACCTCTGCATTTACTCTAGCTTGACTTTGTTCCAAAAGCTCATTATTTAAAGGAAGGCCAGATTTATTCCTGAAGTCATTTGTCTTGACTTACCTGTTTTCTCAAGTTCTTCAGCAAAATACGGGTCGTTGAGATCAACGTCAGATGGAAGTTCATCCTCACTCTGTTCTTTCTCAGCAGTAGCCTGTAAAAAAGCACACATTGCTTCAATCAACATAAACTACTACAGTTTCACTGGAATTAGATGTTCCTTCTGTCAGTAACTATGAAGATAAAAACTGAAATATTTTATGCTGAACATCATAAAACTAGACTGCACCAAAAATTCTTAGTAAAGACAAATCAACTACTTAAAATCTGTTCCACAGATTGAGAGCTTTTTATGTACCTGAAGAAGGGCTATTTACATACTCTAAGGAGCTTTATTAGATGTATCCACAAACTGTGATGCACTAGCTAACCATGCCAACAAATGACAGGATCACAGCATTGTTATGTCCTTTATGTTCCACAAAGCTCCACATGGGTAAAAACTGGAGCAAGGAGCTTCATTTTGTGCTCCAAAACTGAAAAAGCCTGAGTCTGGACTGGAAGTTTTGTGTTGTACACGTTGCCCCTTAATTTATCAGACTGAACAAGAATATTAGGGTAGCAGAAGTTGCTCTACTACCTCACAGTGCTAATGACTGTAGTCAGAGTACTCCTTTTCTGTAAGGTTGAAGAAGTTACTCATCAAATGCCACTTAAAACTAACTGGAATGCACAGCATAACTCAAGTTGTTTTTAGGAGTAATCTTGACATTATCTGCAACGTGAATTATATTCATAGTAATTTAAGAATTTAAGGAAGCTAGATTCTGTACGCCACATGCTTTTTTTCCCCTAGCATAGGCATAAACATTTATCTGCCTATTTCTGCACATCAGTGCCACAGGAGTCTTCGTACTGACTTTCTGTGTGTAGAAAGATGAAGCAACAGCAATTTTCACATTACTACAGGACCATTTCGTTATTCATACACAGAACTTTGCTCTTGCAACTTGAAATTTGAATAGTCTTTTGTGGCTATTAATTCTTTGATGTTACAGCTTTGGGAAACAAGTCTGTATTATTTTAGGCTAAAAATGTGCAAAACTACAATTATCATTATCATAACAACTTTGATATACATCCAGGAGCAAAAGGACCCTTCCTAATGCATTCAGAAACATTAACTGAAAACCAACTGTTATTATGACTCATTTATCTTTAAACCAACACAAGTACATAAATGGTATTTTGTGTAAAGTATGTGTAAGATCAATAGTATTCTGAACATGCTTTTACTCTGTAAATTCAATTAGACACTCTTAGTCTTTCCACATGAGTGACCACCGCACATTCTAAACTTAAAACAGTACTGGAAGCTTGGATAACTTTTTGTTCATCCAAAACAAACAACAGCAGCAACTTAAGAAGCCAAACAAACAACAACTCCCCCCAAATGGCCAAAGCAACCAGTACTTTTCTCTTTTTTTTCAGGATTCTTTTTTCTTTCTTCTTCTCTAGGAATTTTTCCCATGGAGTTAGGTTATCCTTTCCTTCCAACCTGTTTTTGACCATTTCTTCAGCACTTTCTTTGAGGCCTAGAGCAAAAAAATAGTAAGTTAAAGAAACAAGATGAATCTGACTTTTTAAAATCAACTGCTTTCTCCTTTGTAAAAGGATAACCTAGTTTTTCTTTAACAAGCCTGTGAAAACAACAAAAATATTGCTTAAAACAACATCTTTATAAATAAGATACATGATGTGTTTTTCCAAATAAAACATTCCTTCAGTAATAAATGATACAAGAGTCAGAAGAGCTTGCTTATGTGACATCTGATTCCCAGTGTTCTTGCTATTCCTCAGAAAGGTCTCCTCTCCAGACATTAGAATGTGCAGTCTACAGATGGCACTATTTAAGAAGTAACACAATAAAAATAACAACAGACATACACAGAGCCCTTATATTTAATGTACCTTATTATAATTGGTTAAGATTCACAAAAACACTTTGTATACAGTCCAGATATTCACTTCCCTGTGCGGGTGGTGGAGGCACTGGAACAGGCTGCCCAAAGAAGTGGTAAATGCCCCATCCCTGGCAGTGTTCAAGGCCAGGTTGGACACAGGGGCTTGAAGCAACCTGCTCTAGTGGAAGATGTCCCTGCCCATGACAGGGGGGCTGGAACTGGATGATCTTAAGGTCCCTTCCAACCCAAACCAGTCTGTGATTCTATTAGAATACAGGGTCATCTCACAGCTGGCTTGAACCTCCACAGTTCATGCTCTCCGTTTCACACAGATATCACCTGGTGACAGAGTTGCTATAAATAGCATCTCCATTGCTGGAACTTTGCCTCTGTGATAACACTATGACAATGCTGCAGTATCTCTGATGACCCATGTATTTATTTGTCTGTCACTGTAAAAGAGAACAATAAGCTATGATTTGAATGAATTTAAAGTACAAATAAAACCACAGCTAGAAAGCACAGGACAACGTAAATAAAAACCCCAAATAATTTCTTGCATTAAGTACTAACGTCACAACATGACATACACTGAGTTAGACAAGTCAGCTATCTAGCTTTTTAAAGCTACTTAGTACCAGCCTGCTGTAACAACAGAAAACTATCTACAATTGAAAAACTGGCTTGTCTGGCAACACACTGGAGCAGAGTTCAGTGGCAGAAAGACAGAATCAACTTGCCTGGCAGGAGCAAGCAGCCTGAGCAGTGAAGTATTTTTCTCCTACCTGTAACTCCTTGCTTCGTTCACTACACGCTTTTGTTTAGAGACTTCTGTAACAAACGAGACGGATATCCTATAGTTCACATCCTCTTTAATGACATCTTGGGAGCATGTAGGAATCATTTCTGCTTCTCCCTCCAAGTCTGATATCTGCCGTCTCTTCCCCAGTTCTACTTGTCCTAATGGTCTCTCTTCAGCATTCCCTTCTTTCCAGCCCAGCCCAGCCCTCACCTTACCAAAATCCTACCCTTCCACCCCACATACCAGTTTCAGTGCTTGGAAATCATTTTTGGACCTCTCCAGATGTCCTAGACTAGACCCCATTCTTTCTCCCAACACCCAGGTTTCTCAGTTGGCCAGTCCCCGCTTCTCATCATTCCTTCCAGCCCTCCACAGTAATGAGGAACTGAAAACAGAGTTCATCATGGAAAAAGTGGGCAACTTTCATGGACAGTTCTACCCGTCCTCAGAAAAGCAGAACTGCAAACACCAGTTCCTGCTCTTGTGTTTGTCGACACTCCAAAAATAATTCAAAGGCTGGAGAGCTGGTTACAACATGTCTGAAACACGAAGTGTGGACAAGATCTAAAACTATGCCTTATAGGAAGAAAAAGAGTGGAGCAGAAAGAAAAGATAAAGCATCCTTCTGCTATCCTGGAACAAAGCCAGAGTTAAAAGCAAGTGGCAAACTGTTACAACCACAAAGATTGGGTACAACACCAGGAAACCAATGCAAAGCCATGATAAAAGAAGGATATTGTATAGTTTCACTAAAACTGTGCCACTAAGAAACCCTCTCATACAACAAGAACAAATATTTAGTTATTTCCAACCGTACACCTCTTCATCTCCAAAGTCAATGAAAGCAGAGTCATCAGCTTCCCAGAAACTGAACTACTATTACTTTGGATATTAATCTGCAGCACTTTTGTGGAAAAAATTACTGGTCAGGTTAGCAACCTTGCAGATTCTCTCTGAAGACGGTAAATACTGGACTAAAAAAATGTATGTCACATCTCCAGAAAGAGAGAGACCCAAAATCTCAAAGGAGGTTACAAGATTTCTGATTTATTTGCCTGGAAAATAGAATCATTTGATCCATCTGGCACAGAAGGACTTGGAAGAAAATACAGCTCTTTCTTGTGGTATTTGGCAGTCTCATGAAAGACATTAAGAGTTTCTCCACAGATTAGAATGGCTCAGAAACTACTGTCCAGACCACTTCCCGAGAATCAGAGTGTATTTAAGTGGTCAAAAGGCCTTTGATTGCAGAAGGGGGAAAGCAATTGTCTACTTTAGGTAGGATTATTAACCAGCCATAGAAACAGCTAATTTATATCCTTATTGACATTGGGTTTTTAGAATAAATGAATCACAATCATTTTATTTAATCTTCACAAATAAGGTCCAAGAAAAGAGGGAGGAAAAAATCATAATCACAGAATGGTTTGGCTTGGAAGGGACCTTAAAGCTCATCTAGTTCCAAGCTCCTACCATGGGCAGGGACACCTTGCACTAGACCAGGTGCTCTGTCCAACCTGGCCTTGAACACTGCCAGGGATGGGGCAGCCACAGCTTCTCTGGGCACCCTGTGCCAGTTTTAACCTTTAGCTTTATCTGCGCTAAAGGATTAGAAGTGTGATAAATATTACACCAAACCTAAATATATTGCTTCTCACACTGCTGGGAGAGTGAGTGAGGGTGTGTGCAGGCCAGGATTTGTACTACTCTAACCACTAAGTTTTGAAAACATTTGAAAGTTTAACAGCATTCAAATGTCACAATTATTAGAAGCTAAGAAGATATTTCTTAGCTCTATTCTCCAGAAACCTAAATGAGCAAGTTCATCTTGCGTGTAATGTCTTACCAGAAGAAAGAAACACTTTGGTGCAGGAAGCTAAAAATGACAGGCATTAGAAACAACATTAGAATTTGTCACTCCTGAAGATGAGACATCTCAAGTCAAGACAGTTTTCCTAGCATAGTACAACTACCTGAAAAAACCCCAGCACACTTAGCAGCTAAGATGTCAAGTGGGAAGAACTGCACTGCTGAGCACACACTGCTTCATGCTGCAAGAGGTAAGACTGCTTCAGCCAGAGGATATACCAAGCAATGATATAGATTAAGATATATATTCCATATGAGCACTCTTCAGCTCCATACCATCTGTAACAACATACAGTTGGGGGTTACTATGCACTTTACAGAGATACAACTGCCTGCTATTCTACTTCTGATGACAACAGGTTTTAAGTTTTCCTTTAAGCCTAGCTAAATATTTACATCTCATTCTTCCCAAAGGAAGAATTGTTAAGTCCAATAAGAAGAGGAAAAGAAGTATGAAAACCTGGCTGTCTATCAGCAAGAAATGCAGTTGTGGTCTTCTCCCTCTTCACCTTCTAAAGGGAGTTTTGGGAGCTGGATACGGATGCATAGTAATTGTTGCTCGAATCAGCTATGATTAAGAAAACAGATGGATGCTTAAATATAACACTGATTTTGTGCCTAAAAGAAACAAACCAAAGAGAGTTGGAACTACATCTGATTTATTTTTGCTGGCACTGTGGTTTATTTAAAACTATTATGATTCAAGAATAACTGAATCATTCACAAAGTATGCTTTCTATAACCACGCGTGCCAAAACTCAAATTCTCAATTTGATTCAAATCTCTGCCTTTCAATTGAAAAACTTCCTAGATTTAACTGTTGTAACCCTCTGTACAGTCAACATTTGGGCAGCAGATTAAGGCAAAGCTTGATAACAAAAATATTTCAACAGACAAACTAGTTGTGAAAAAATTAAGGAGCCTTAAGAGATTATAACAAAAACTATTCTTGAATTCCCAGAATGCTCCAAGTGAACATAATTAAATTGTTTTGGAGTTTCAATAAGCACATTTGTTCAAGAAAAACACAACATCATAACTAATGTACTTCTCTAAGAAGGAACAGTCTCAAGTGTGTCTATATTGCCAGAGCTATAAACTACTGTTCAGCACGTGCTGACTATGCTCCACAGTAAAAAAATTTTATATATATATAT